TTTTTTTTTCCTGTTCAGACGTTAAATAAAATTGCACTCGCACAGATGTTTTTTACGATACGCAGCTATCTCTAACAATAAATTTTTATGACACGATATATCGATTATTCCTTTCTGTCTTCGTTCTCCGTGCCGCGTGTGCATCTGTTAGTTTAATTATTTTTATCTTTGCATCGAAACAAATTTTTTTCGCCAAGAATCGTACAATTTTTGGAAAGTTGGATTATTTGAAAAATTGCGCAACACATCACGTTCTAACCGCAAACAGCGTTACTCAATTATTTAATTAATTGTTCGAAACACACGATCAATCAATTCCTATTCCTAAGGTTAATTTCTAAACTGAAATTCCTCTCCGAAACAAAATAACCTTACATTCTAACAGATAGTGTCACTCTCATAATCAGTTTAATCCAACTTGGAATATTATATTCCAGTTCCTCTAGTTGAAATAAAAAAAGAAAAGAAAAAAAATCTGCGACAATTTTCAGAACGGAATTCCGTCGAACTGAAACAACAACAAACATGTCGGCAGGTAGTGTATGATTAAGATCGATTAAGACAACCGGGAATTAATTCAGCCAGCATCGGACTGGAATTGAAACAACGCGTACAACAGCCTATATCTGGTGTAGGTGTAACCACGCGTTCGCGGAAATCTTCAACATCGATCATACTGGGATATCAACGAAGCAAGCTTTCAGGGGCTCGTGTGTGTTTGGTTCAAAGGCACGTGGATCAGTAAGGAATGTGTCAAAAGCTCCGAGCGGCACGGTTAAGCGGCTTCGTATATGATAGATGGCACCCGTTATACTCATGCATTGAATAGCGAATTAAATTCTGCTTGCTTCACAAATTTACCCTTCGGCGGTTTATCTGCATCAGACACCTGTCGTCTATATTATTCAGTTTGACTAGGTGCGTTGCACGCCGCGCGTTCCCCGCGCCGAATGCCGATAATGAGGTTTTCACGTTGACGAAAGGAAAGATCGCACACAGTGTCTTTGTGTTGCTCGCCATTGATATCAAAAACTACCGTGTTTGCGTTCTGTTCTCGTTCAGAACGTGCGTGAAAGATTATTTTCATTTTTCACTCTTCAGACGAGTTTTTCTTTTTCTTCGCGAAAATCGGCCAAAGTTGGTTGTCCAATCAATTTTCGAAGTATTTAAGCATTTGGAACAGTGAAGATTTATAGGTATACTGTAAATGAGTTCATTTGAAAAATTTCGATTATTTTATACTGTTCAATGGAAATAGATTTCAATCGTGTTTGACTAAATATGCATTGACAAATTTATCATACGACTAGATGTAATGAAATAGAAATGAAAAGATTCTTATTGCATACGAATGCATGAGCTTACGATAACTTCCTACCTACTTGGAAAAAAGTTAAACACAGTTTGCTTAAACACAGTTGATATTTTGTAATTTTAAATTTGCAGTTACATAGTATAGTAATTGACATTGGAGAATAATTACAGTCGAATGTTTAGTCGAATAACATAGATCCTCCATCTATTTCCTTGATTAAGATCAACATCTCTCCACCTTAACATTAATCTAATATTGGATCAAGAGTTTCTCTAGCTTCTGTTTATACGGCGTTTAGTTTACCTATGTTGAGTTCGAAAGTAGCACTTCAAAGTAGCACGATTCTCTAAAAAGTGGGATAGAGTTTGCAGAAGGAGTAGAACAGAACGTCGTTAAATATTGTATAATGGACAAGCATTTATCTAAAAGAAACATATTCAATATATTCAATGATCAAACACCGCGTCATGATTTTGAATCAGGTTGAATATGAATTTGGAATAAACAATGAAATTTCGTTTAAAGGAACTCGAAGAAAATCCAAGTGTAGTAAAATACTGAGGTACTAATAATTTTCTACTATCAATTAAATGAAAGAGTATATCACGAAGGAAAATGAATACTTATAGAAAAGTAAAATACATAGGAAACATTACCAGGTACCAGGGGTACCCGATTAACTTGATTTTTACAAAGTTAAATATCCTGGTAAAAGATATCCGACTTAGTACAACTTGGCACAATAGATTCATCGATTTTTCATTATTATAGAATGATAGAAATCTACTCTTTAAATACAGTGAACAGCAATCGTGAACAACACGATTCTGCCATTTACGTTTGTGCGAGCAAAATAGACCCGCATCAATCCGAAGAGAATCATGAAACATAATGGCCACGAAATACCATAACTTTGTAATGCGTTAAATCAATGACCCAATTCAACTTCGTCGGGAATCACCACGAGAACCGTTTCATCTACGGAATAATTTAACTTCCTCGGTGCATATTGATGACGTATGTCGTTCATTTGCATACGACCGCAGCCGAGCATTCTACGAATATCAATGATTCACCAGTTATCCAGATTTCATTCTCATTTCTGATCCACACAGTTCTTCTTGATTCGCGCGGATCGTTCTTCTTCCACCCGCCTTTCTCTCCCCTCCCCTTTGCCCTTTTTCCATTTTTCTTCGAATTCCGAATAGCAATGGACCTTAAATAAAGGGGCGAACTCGCCGGTTACTTCCCAGTCGGAGGAAAAAGAAAAAGAGAAAGAAAGAAAGGGAAGGGAGGGGGAGGGAAAAAGAACTTCTAAAAGCGGTTGCAATCGTTCGTGCATTTTAACGGGGCGCGAACGAAAGTGAACGAATATCGAGGAGGATTAATTGAATTCCTATGGCGGGGCTTTCTACCGTCTGACGTGTTACCGACAAATTACCACTGCACGTTTTTAGCAAACTTTTGCTTCGCTGAAATATGGATAATCTCGGGCCGGCTTTTCCGTTTCCGCGTTTTTCTTTTTTTTTTTCTCTCTCTCCCCCTATTTCTCCCCCTTTGACAATGTCGATGAAAATGAACAAA